CAGGAAGATTTCTCTCCATTTACAGAACAAGGATTACAAAATCTTATGTAAACCTTACAAAACCTGAAAGTGGTGCTGGTGAAAGCATTACACGACATCATGTCTGCCTTTCTGGTGGAAGATGATAAAATACAGACCTTCTTTTTAATGAAGTCATTGGGGCGTTTCTGAAGAGTTAATAAAGCAGTGTAGGTCAGAGACTCTTGTATGGTAAGGAAGCTTAACAAAGTGTCACTCTGAAAAAAAAATAATAAAAATCAGTTCTGCAGCAATTAAGAACTTGCCCCTGCTCACACAACCTTCATTCATTCATTCAATTTATTAATTGCCTAGTATCACATTTACTAGTCTAGTAAAATCACATTCAGATTACATTACACCAATACACTAGTAACTTTACTTTCTTTACATTAGAGGAAGCACAGTGCACAAAAATAAATGTAGAACTCAACCTGTGGCACATAAGAGAAGCAATCTCTAAACTGATCCCTCTTCAGCTGACGCCCATTCACGTACACGTCACCAAAGAAGTTGTCTTTATGTCCCAGTCTTCCTGATATTGCATCCAGAAGTGTTGTTTTCCCAGATCCTGCCAAACAAAAGCAATTAATCATGTGATGTGATGAATTTTACGATTTCAAGAGCAGTAGCCACGTTTGGGGGTATATGAAAAGAAGGTGGGTTTTTTCCCTCAATTACATTAAAACAATAGGTCCTGAAAATGCAGCTAGTTAAGGGGAAGTAGATGGGAAACCTAGAATGTGTGTGAATTAGCATTTAATTCATACAAATTTACACTTAAGAGTAAAACATTTGGGTTTAGAAATACCTTATCTTTTATTGAAGTTACAACTGTCAGAATGACAGAAGCCTGAAAACCAAGCACCACAGTTTTACAAAGCAGAGGTTAAAACCAGCTGCAATTTTCTCATTTAAAACACAGACCTCCATCACATTCATACACCACTGTGGAAGTCACCTGTGTTAACTCAAATCTTACTTCTTTTAAAGTACTGGAACAACTTACCAGAATTTCCTAAAATCCCCATAATCTGACCACTCTCTATGTGAAATGAAACATCCTTAAGAATTTGCCGGGTCCATTTTTTATGATATAAAGAAATGTTCCACCATGGTCCAACACGTTCTCTTGGAAAACAAACATCAAAAAAAGATTAGAAAATACTTAAAAATTTTGTGTAAAGCAAGTGAATAGTTTATAGCTATGGGATATGTGGGGATACGGATATGTGGGATGGGTGTCTACAAGGATTTTAAAATATAGGGAGGAGGGGGGAATCTGTCCCCTCTTAACACTCCCTAGGCTTTAACTTTTAAAATTCAGCATTATCTGGAAGATGAAATGAAGCCAGAACAGATTTTTCAGGATGAGTGGTAGGAGGCTTTTGGATGACAACTAGATAGGGCAACTTGCACTGAGACTTTATTTGTTGACGATGTTCACCAGCCATTAATCCACCTGACCGTTTCCTTAGGGCCCTCGCATTATCTCCCTGGCAGCAGTAAGAAAGGGCAAAGGGCACAGTCTTCCGAAATCTCCTTCAGAGACATCTCCTTCATAGACATGTGTATGGCCACTAGAAAACTCTCTGGAGGACAGACCAGCTCTCAAGCCATGTGCTCGACCCTGGTGCTGGGCAGCCCAGTGCCATGAGGTGGGGGGCCTGCCAACATCCCCCCTTCTTTACGGGGCTGAAACCAAACCCACAAGCCCAGCAGTCCCAGCGTCGTTCCCCTCAGTTCCAGGGGTCAGAGCAGCTCCCAGGAGGCATGGGCTCACCCAGTCTTACCTGATGGTGTAGGAGACATCCTGGACACTGATGCTGTCGGGGGGCTGTGCCACGGTCTTCGCCTTGCTCGTCTGCCTGCCACTGCTACTCCCCTCCAGGGCGGGAGACCCTCTGCTCAACATCCTCCAGGGCTGGGGCCCCACAGGCTCCTTCTCTCCCTCACGCTGCTGGTCAGGTGCCTGTCGCTGCCACCTCCATGTCTCCCCTGGCACTGGGCAGGGGCAGCTCCCCGCTGTCCCTGGGTCAGAGCAGGTCGCCGCCTCAAGTGATCGTCACTCGGGGAAGTGCTTAAAAGAAAACAGAAGGGCTCTCAGTTCTTTCTTTATTCCTGAGAACAGCTGATAGGCGGTTAGCTGAAGCCGCTATCTGATGTACCTTTAGCCTGAGCTGTTACAGTCGCAGAGGAGGAGAATATTTCCCTGTCCACGAGGTCACACCAGCTGCAGAGACACAGCGTACCAGGAGAAATGGAGCTGCGGTGAAGGCAGCTGGAAAGGGCTGAGCCCAAAACCAACAAGGATTTCCACACCTTCCAAAGAGCTGACAGTCAAACCACTGCAGGGAGCAAGACCTTCCACCACCAACATGAAGGAATCTACTGAAAATGTCTCTCTGGAGAGTGCTGGCTGGAGCCGGGCAGCATGTAAGGGATCTCCGGTGAGTGAGATCTGTGGGGAGCAGGGAGGGACCTGGCAGGCTCGGTCATCCCACAGCCACAGCGCTTGCCAGGAAGCCAGGAGAGGTGGGCAGCCAGCCTGCCCACCGGGCTTTCGCAGGCAGTGAGCCCTATCTCCTTCAGTTTTGAAATGGGGAGCAAAAGCATCCTCACCCTCCACAAGAGCACACTGGGGACGGGGATGGTATCACACAAGTCATGTTCAAATGCTACAGTGGTGGGGCTGAGGTGGCAGATCTTCAAATAGATGCATGGAATAGAAAGTCCCTGAGCATGGTCCAGGCTAGCTTTCCCAGTGGTAAAACCAGCTCCCTGCATTTTCTGGGGGCAACCTGTTCTTCTAAAAATCAAGTTCAACATAAGCAAGACCGCAGAGTGCTTTGGCAGCAGGGGGACACTGGAAGGCTTTAACGTGGCTTTTTAAGCTGCTTGGTGTCATTCTGCTTTCTGCTGTGTAGCCAGACTGAAAAGATTATTTAGCCTCATTTGCTGTGAGGGCAGGAGGTGCACGCAAAGACTGCGATCACCATCTGCCAAGATACCACAGGCACACATAGGCTCTACTACATAGGAAACAGGTACATTTGCCTTGGCTAGGAAATTAGTTTGATTCATAGGAAATGCACAAAGCTCTGGAAGAGGTATGTCTGTCTGGAGTAAAAACTACAGGCATGCATACAGAATTAAAGCTGAAGCCAGAAAACTGCCTCAGCAAAGAATTCTTACTTGCAGTTATATGCAACAGGTTAACCAAGCCAAGTAGAGACTCTATTATTTTAATTCGTATCTCAGAATGCCAGTTAACAAACTGTGAATTTAAAAGACAAAAGAGGAGAGAAAGAGACTGTACTTGTGGTTGCACACCTGCTTATACATAAAGTGTCCAAGTTAACGAGTCCCTGGGGAGCTCAATAACAAACATACTTCTAGTGAACCTTAATTTGTAGCTGCCGTAACTTAGGAACTTCAATACGCACCATTTTGAGCCAGTAGACTAATGATGCAGAATCAGTACATTTTTTCAATGAAAATAGAAACAAGAGTCCAATATCTTTATGGTGGCATGAAATTTATCTACATTTTGAAAGCAATTCCATTTAAATTGAAAGTAAATAGAAGAGCATGTTTGGCCTTCATACATGCCACTAGAACAAAGTACATTTCACACTGATTAAGAGACAACTTATTTCAACCTTTTGGACTTTTGCACGACAGTAACTTATGAACAATACTGTTATATCTCATACATCCTTTACTACTTCATTTTTCTGAACTTGAATTTAACAGCACTTTAGGTATTGTAATGAACTATTGTAATTAACCTAATAACTTTTCCAGACCAAGGCCGAGGACAGTATTTTTTGCTCTGAAGACGATAACAGTCTGTATTTCACATACAGCGGAAAACCAAATGTTCTCGAGGTCAAAGAACTCAACTACCAGGTAAAAGTTGTACTTTATACGCTTCCCCTCAGCTGGGAGCACATCCAGCAATACCTGTTTCTAGATGCAAGCTATTTTAAAAGCCAAAACTGAAGTTCACAGCACTAATTCACACAACTATTGCACAGACAAATACCAAGAGGTTTCGTAAGGAGAATTGTGCTCTTGGCTGCAACACTGACAGCAGGCTAAACTCTCCATTGTAAATATATCTAGTAAACCTGGGGGATAAGACAAGAATGGAGGTTTATTTCTAGGCTCTCTTTTTTCTCAATTTTGAGACAAATTATTCCTCTGAGGGCTGGGACAGAGGCACTTCCCTCTCAGTTAGGGATATTGGGAGCTCTTGGTGGCAAGAATGAACATGTGGAAGAAAACAAGAAGATGACAACAAATATAAGGAGGATTTCAGGGAGCCAGTGAAACTTTCCATCTCCCTTTGCAGCATACCATGGCATGTAGGCTGACTTCACCATTTTCAATTCTGAGAAATTTTAAACTGTATATAAATTTTTTTAAAATGTATTTACAATAGCAACAAATAATCAAAAGTAACAGAAGACAGAGACAGCTTTAGTGTTTAGGAGGAATAATAAGCAAAGCATAAAAGCCATACTTGGCTGTAAATGAACTTTAACCCATGTATTTCTGAAGAATAATATTGTTTTAACATATTCTGTGCTTGTAACATAACTTCGCTGATAAAATAATAACTTTGCTGCTAAATAGTTTATTCCTGGAATTGAAGGGACGTTTTCTTTCTCTGATAGGTTAACATAGCATCCCAGACTCCCTGGTATGAAAGTCTCACACAGATGAAAATGCCATGGACCTGGAAATCAGATCCTCGTGCTCATGTGTCAATAATCCAGAATCTGAATTTAAAAGTTCGAAGTGGTCAGATGCTGGCTATTATAGGAAGCACTGGTAAGAGCAACTGACTTTTATGATTTGACCAACTCTCACAGAAAAAGTACACAGCTAAGAATGTTCTGCAGTCTTTTGAATGGCAAAATCTCATTGAGAAACAACTATTGGAAATGCGTGACTTAAATACATTCTTTAAAACAGATAAGAAAACAAAACATGAGGAAACAAAGAATGATACTGAGGAGGGAAAAAAAAGATTTCTTTTCAAAATCAATTTTGTTATGATTTGTACACATTTGCTGTTTGTTTCCTGAGATGCAATGGGGTATTATTTTAACTGTGGCCTACAGTCCCAGCTCTGCTGGACATGAATCAGCTTCATGGCTCAGACTGAGAACAGGCCAGTGGCAGACCTCACCCAGTAACACAGCAAACAAATGAGGCGAGACCCAAAAAGGAAAAGTAGCAACTTGCATAGCCACTTCTTTCAGACTGATTCTAACAGGACAAAATAATGCATTTGGATTAAGAGAAACTTACGGAGAAGAAAATACAGGTCCTCTTCTGTTTTGCTTTAAAATCAGACTCTCTTTTTTCTTTCATTTTCTGGCGGGACTGGTTTAATCTTCTCCAGGGTGAGGTTGACTAATGGAGAGTTGGTCCCTACCCCATACGGTTAGCTGAGTCTAAGCTCATCTTGGGGAATAAGAAGCAGACACATGGCCCGTTAAACATCAGGTGACCTCAGTGATTCGGCGAAGATGCACTCTCTCAGAGGCAAGACACTTTTGCCAAAGAAACAACTAACTTCATTTCTATGAGAGATTTTTCTTCTCCATTGCCATGGAAATTTTTCCTTAATGTAACTGAAGCTGTACCTCAGAGATCCTCCCAATAATAAAAGGAAATGCTTGCGATGAAATAACATACTGAGTTATAGATAGAGCACCTCGGTAACATAACATACACTGAGCACAAATCCCTTTCAACAAACTAGTCAAACTATTTTTAGAAGCTGTTTATCACCTATTTCATCAAATGCCTTAGTAAAATGGATTAAACCGCTGATGGGTTTCACATTGTCAATGGTAATCAATATGTCACTCTTAAATAGAGCAATACATGGTTTACAGATGGATGGATTTCTTTTTTAAAATGTATATATTAAGAAGCAAGTGTGGAGTTAATCTTTCAACAGGAAGACTAGAAATAAATGACATCTAATCATAATAAGAGAGCTCTCTGTGTTTACATACAGTATCACACAGCAAAAAGAAAAATTCATTTGCTATTCAATTCCAAACCAGGTGTTGTTTTCGCTGTTTTACTTTTCTTACCTCTGACTATGAGCCAGCTTCTCTTAATTATTTAAATGACTTTTTGTCTTTAGTCATAATAAAAATTATTTCAGTCATGATTAAGATTCTTATTGTCTGTATAATCATTCAGCACTTAGTCATTCAGCTGTTCCAGTTGCTGTTTCTGAATTCACAATTTCCTCCACAAAGCGAGCTCTTGCCAAGCATTTAGGGCCCAGCCCTGCAGCCAGTGCAGGATAGCACCTGTCAACTATGCTTCAGAAGCAAAAGAGGTAACAAGAGGACAAAGACACTGCTTCTTGAGTTCACAGAGCTGTTCTTGATGCCTGAGTACCCAATTCTGCTGAAAACTGACCAAGGTTAAAGCTACGTACTCCATACCAGAGGAGCGAAATTTCCCAAACATGAGCTTATAGCTGGTATTTTCTTTCAAGACCATTATGTCTCTGTGGCTTTGGAAAATCTTTGGGAAAGGTTGGGGGAAGATGTTAAGGAGCGAAGACTTTTATCCTCTGTCTGTGACTAAATTGCTTTTCAAAATAATCCCTTGGAAATGAATTTAATTTTCAATTTCGGTTTTTCTAGCTGGTGGAAAGACATCCGTGCTTGATGTAATAACCTGTCGGGATCATGGAGGCAAAATCAAGTCTGGTGAAATCATGATCAATAACAAACCCAGCACTTCCCAGCTTGTTAAGAAATGCATAGCACATGTGCGGCAGGATGACCGACTGCTCCCCCACCTCACAGTCAGAGAAACACTATTGTTCGTTGCCAAACTGCGCCTTCCAAAGTTTTTTTCAGACTCACAAAGGAAAAGAAGGGTAATTAAGCTGTTGGAAAAAAATAAAGTTGTCAAAAATGTGTCTGACAGGAATTATCCAAGAGAACCTGTGTGTTTGGAGTCAGAACAGCTAATCTGGCATTTTTTTATGTAGATTATGAATTATAAACCTTTTTCTTCTTTCAAGATAGAAACCAGCAATTGTTCCAAAGCTCATAAAAAATGACAATCTAGAGAAAGCATTAGAGAGGCTGAAAGAAGAACTAAATTGCTGATCACTGAGTCTTTCTTAACATTATCTCAAAAGTCAAGATTTGTTTTTAAGTGTCTCTTGATCAGATAGCACTGAAATATCCAGATGAATTTTAACCACATTAGTCATATTTTCAGCTTTATCTATACACGTAGATGCAAATAAACTCTTGTTTTATCTCTGTTACCCTTTGGATCTCCCCAGGTAGAAGATGTTATAGCAGAACTACGCTTGCGCCAGTGTGCAAACACCAGAGTAGGGAATGAGTACCTCCGCGGCATTTCGGGAGGTGAGAGGCGGAGAGTGAGCATCGGTGTGCAGCTGCTCTGGAACCCGGGTGAGCAAAACACTGGCACCACAGACCTCTGGGGAAACTGGGCAATATGTGAAGATAAGAACTTTCAGGAAAGAGTCATACACACACAGTTGCCCCTGGGGCAGCTCCAGTTCATACTCAGGACATTGAGCAGGTCTTGCATCATCCTCTGTCAGAGGTTACCTCTTCAAAACAATGTCAGACACAGTGACTGGGTGCCGGCCCACTTGCTTACACTGAAATCAGTGCTGGTCACAGACAACCCTGAAATTATTAGAGCAATAATTCTGTAAATGGAGTGTTTCAGCAGCCAATCCCTTTTTCACTTCTCTCACATTTGCCAATGGTAAAGCAGTGATAGACACAGGTAGAGCCCCTCTGGGACCCTTCACTTCCTGCTCTCTAAAACTACCATCACGCAGACGACTGAAAGTTGCCTGTAGTCACCCTCACAGCAGCACCCTGGTTTGTGCATATCAGTATGAGGTCTGGCTCTTATCTGACCGCACACCACAAGTTACTTTGGAAGGCTGCTGCCCTATTATAACATCGGGTTTGTTTTCCTTTCCTCTGACCCAGTTCATTTCCATGTGCAATGTTAATAGGGAAGGTCATTTGCTTGGCTTTATAGTCAGTTGTTGCGGTCTTGTGCAACTCACTGACGTGGCTGGCTCATGCCACAGGTGAAATAGAAGTTTCCATCATCTGCAGCAGAAACAAAACAGGAGGTTAAATTCACAGTTGATTTAGCAGGATTGAATCCTCTATCTGCTCATATCTATATAGTTATATCTATCTCTATATAGAGATAGATATATCAAAACCACTACTAATCTTGGCTGAACCCCTCATTGAGCAAGATTTCCCATCAGCTCTTCCCTTGGCAAATGGATCCGAGAAATTTTTCTTGTATAACATTATATTTTTGTAATTGTGGGGAAAGCAGAAGTCTTTTTTTGTAAGAAGTGATGCTCAGGAATAGATGTGCTGGCACTGAAGAAAAAAATAATTAGTTGTACAAAAAATAAGTAAAGCTTTTGTTGCATTTCAAATGTTAAACCCCTCAGCACAGAAACCATGTCTATATGCAGACATCGCCTTGTGCTGAGGCCATTAAGCTCTATGGTAACATAAACACTGCAAAGTAATAAACCACTCAAATTTGCAATTGCAAAACAAACAAAAAGTCCAAATATACACATGTCTCTTCATACATATGTGCAAATAAGTGCAAAATAGAGCACAGGTTGGGAAGAGGAGGAGGAGCTTCCTAAATTAACACTAAGTATTTACACATGAATAAAGCAAGATATTTAAATATCAAGCATTTAGGTTAAAATATTTAGCAGGCAGAATACAGAACTAATACTATTGTATTGATATGCATGTGCCTGATATTTGTACAGGCAGTGTAGACAAGAATGTAAATTTAATAAGGAACCTAAATCTGCATCCCAAAGAAAAACAAAACAAATTCTTGTTTCCAGTGGGAGCAAGACACAATTTAACAAAATTACTCTTGGCCATCATGTTCAGTAAGATAGTGGAAGAAAATGCCATTGTTGAACGTTATGGGATGCTAGTATGAAATATACTTTGAATTTCAAAAAAAAAAAGAAAAAAAGGAATATATCAGTGATATTTCAAACACTAGCACCACGTCATTTTGACCATATTTTCAAATCAAACATGCTGCTTTCCACAGCTAAACTTGTTGTCTTTGGCAGGAATACTCATACTTGATGAACCCACATCTGGACTGGACAGTTTTACTGCACATAACCTTGTGATAACATTATCCAGACTGGCCAAAGGAAACAGATTAGTTCTTCTTTCGCTTCATCAGCCCCGGTCAGATATTTTCCAACTGTTTGATTTAGTTCTTCTGATGACTTCTGGAGTCACTGTCTATTCTGGAACAGCTAGAGACATGGTCCAGTATTTCACAGAACTAGGCTATCCCTGCCCAAGATACAGCAATCCTGCCGATTTCTATGGTTAGTATCAAGCACTGCCACAAAAAATGTTACTGGAAATCATTTGCTTTCATAAGTGTAACAGCTAACATTGATGTTTTATTGACCATAACTGTCTTAAAAAGGCTGTTCCAATCAACCTTGGAACAAGTTCAGGTTTTAATAAGATTCTTATCTGTCAGTATAGGAAATGTAAGAAAAACAGGAGGTAAGGACAAAATTGATTTAAATAATCCTCCTTTTAACCCTGCCAGGTGTAGCAACTCTTCCACATGTTTAGCATACTTCCCGTGTTTTAGCTGGTTGAAACTTTTGCCCTCACTGGGAAAGACATGAATGAACTGATGGATTGCTTTCTGTAGCCGTTTCTCTGACTTCTGAATAAAGAAATGTAGAATGACAGTTTCCTAGGGTGAGGAACAACACTCACCTGGAATTCTAAATGGGAAAGAGGAGTGCTGCCAAACAGAGTGCATTGGAAGGGAGAAAAACCAAATGCAGACTGGCAATCTTCTTGAAGAATATAACTACATGGTTCCAAATCCACTCTCCTCCTGGTTTTTTTGCAACACGCAAAGGGAATCTGATGTGTTAGACTAATGGCAGTAGCCTCTTACCACAGAGGTTGGTTGGGTTCCAGTCCTTAGGTCTTTGCATTCAAGTTTTGTAGGAAACCTTGCACAGACACCAACCTCAGTGCTCTGCAGTAACCTCTCTGGCCGTGCCTATGTGGCAGGTGGCGTCAGCTGAGTTCAGCTGTGCAGAGATAAAACAGAAGTTAACCTCAATGTCAAACTCTGTAAAAGGACCTTTGTCACCACCCTGGCTCGGAGGAGCCCTCCTCCAAGCACAGCCTCGAGGGACGGCTTGCAGCACGCCTGGATGGGAGAGGAGAGTATGAGGCAGTTGTGGGGAAAGTTGTAGCTTCAGCCCGTGGTTACAGAGACAAACCCCTACGACATGGAGATGGGGAGAGATGAGACAGGGGAGTGGAAGATCATTTAACAGTGTGCACAGAGACAGTACCTGTAGGAAGAGAAGGTAAACACAGGCAGCAGGAAGGTGGAAACAGGTCAGCAAGAAGGAGCACCTGACGGAAACACACTAATTCTGTCTCTGTGTCCAATAGAGAAACAGCAGACTGTGACAGAAAGGAAGAGGTAGGGCAGATTGCAACTGATTTCTGATGAACTCCTGC